AATGCATAGAATTCTCTTGGAAAGGTTCTGTAATCGTGGGAATGCCTGTCCTTATTTCTCCCAAAAGGAAAGTAGGTTTTCCTCTGCTGATCCGTCTATACGGAAGTTTGTAGAGGAATACTTCTGTACACTTCATCCAGAATTAATGTATCCGATTCCACCTCCCATTCTGTGAAGTCAGTCGTAGGCTTTTTCGTTGGTGCGCCAGCTATGAATATAAAACAGTACAACCGCCCGCCACCCGCCCGAATTTAATTAAAATATTATTTTTTCGTAACGTCATCCGCCCGATCCGCGGTTTATCCGCGGAGTCCGCGGCTACAACCGCCAACCGCGCATCTCTAATATACGGTATTCAGTTTCTGAATTGTTTAGGCACAAGCCAACAGTTTGGTGACGCTGCCTGAGCCTTACGTGATAGCAACTTAGGTTTAAGAACTCGCTCGACAGGGCTCAGAAAGAGAGCAGAATATTTATATTTGCTATAAATGCTCATGTTGTTTTGCGTATGTACTTGAGTTTTTAAAGATAGTTCATATATCTGACAGTTTGTAATAAAGGACAAATTGTATTACAAATAATTTATATTTATATATATATATATATATATATATTTATACATTTTAATCCAAAAATTGTTGTGCTGTGAAGTAAAATATCAAATAGTGTATAGAAAGCATCTTCAATGCATCGAATAGATGGCATGAAAATCGTAACCGAACTGAGAGACCAGTGTAGGTTCACACCTCTAGAGAGATATAAGAGACTTTATTTTCGGAAGCATTACATCGCTTTGTAAATGTTTATTATTACCATTGGTCGAGTCTCCCTATACAGTTTGATAGTACTTTAACCCGGAAACCGCTTCGCGTCACACTTAACAAGTGGACAAACTCAAATAGAACTAATAATAAAACTCTTATACATAACAAATGTCTATCTAATATCCTCATCATCTGTTGACTCTGTGTCAGTAAACTGCAGAGTCTGCGCAATCATATCCACAATAACCCATCAGCTGTTGATTTCTGACCTGTTATTATCCTTGCATTATTTGTTATCAGGAGTAAAAAGCATATTTATTTACACTTCTTAAATATTCACTAAAATGTTGCATTCTTAAGCGAGGAGAGCGTCTGGATGTTTGTTGTTATATTGCTGCAAAGATATGGCCGAATTGATTTGTAGATAGTTTATGAGCAAAACATGAGCTTCACTGTGGAATAACTGAAGGCTTCAAATTTTTCAAAGTTTAAAGTTTTCATTGAAATCTTCCGTTCTACATTGAAATCTTTAATCATGTCTCCCCAACTATAAATTTCTCAAGTAGGTAAAAGCAAGGGAATCAAAACTCTGGTGTATACCAAATCACAACACCTTATGAAAAGTCTGATTACGCTAAAACCAAAATCCTGTCATTATTTTGTCACTCAGTCTTTCCAACTCTGCATGACTAACTTTTATCTGAGGAGCACAAAAGAGTTTCACAAAAGTACAAAGTCATAAAGGTAGGAAATAACAAGAGTAAACGACTACCAAACATTTCATTTTTATTTTAGAGTGAACTATCATTTCAAATCAGTTCCTCAGTTAATGCAACCTCCGGTCTTGACGCTGTCATATACCGCATCTTCTTTTCATAACCTGACATGACTAGTCTCATCTATGCTACGTTTGATAAGCACATCAAACAGATGACTGTGCTACCAGGGGACCAACGGTGGGAATCCAATAGTGATGACACTGACTCTCGCTGTCACTGTCTGTGGGAGGAGAAAGAAAGATGCTGTACTTCTGCCTGCAATACATATTGATTGTGAGAAGCTGAAGGCTGGGCTGTTGCTCTCTGCACCACTGCTCGGAGGGATCAATTCCCTAATAGTTCCACAAGAGCCTCTTACACCAAGAGTGCTGTGATGAGGTGCCAAGCTATAAACTGGAACAATGCATTTGCCCATTTTCGCCTCTGAGTGCCACAGCTCTGTTACGCACTCGCTTTGAGATGAATCCTAGTCTTACTGATGCAACAAGGTAGAGGAGTACATAACTATTGGGTTTAATGCCTGCCTGTCATATACTGTGAGTGAAGACACTCCTAACAGTAACAGATCTATGCTGGTGCTCAAAAAACAGCACTCATTCAACACTGCTAAACCTTAAAAGCTTCATACATGCATACATTCAGATATATAATCCTCTATTTGTACTACTAATGCACATAGGTCAACCGTGACAGTCAGTATAGGAGCAGAATATATTACAGCTGGTATGGAGTACAGCAAGTGTATAGTAGAAATGGAGCATGGTCACAGAGCATAGTAAGTATATCAGCATTATGGATTATAGATGAAACTGGGAAAGCACAAAACAAAAATGGGAGATTAGAAGCAGTAATCAGCACTGATAGCTAGAATAAACTACAATGCTTTACACTAGACTGCATGTATTGTATTGCATGACATAGCATGTAGTCTGTAGAATCATTATGTAAACGTGTAGATTATAGACGGTAGCTTAGTATTAAAGTGCACTCAAAAATCATTTGTTCTTCCTCCTCTTGTTCCAAAAATGTTTGAGATTGTTTCTTCTGTGGAACCAAAAGGAGGATGCAGATGAATGTTGGAGTGGGAAAAAAAGCCAGTGACTTTCATAATAATTTAATTTCTACTATGGATGTCAATGGCTGCTATTTTCCAACATTCTTCAGAGTATCTTCTTTGTGTGCAACAGAATAAAGAAATTCATTGAAGTTTAAAATTACTTCAGCGTGATTAAATTGTGAAAAAAAATTAAGTAAACTACTACTTTAAAGGTGCCCAGAAGGCTAATTAGTCACTCATTCCCTGTGGTAAATATAAATAAACATTAAGCACTGCAAAATCTGCAATTTCCTGATATGGGTGTTTATAATTTTGTTGTAGAGCAAAATGTTTAAGTATCAAAGATTATATAATCACAAAACCTACATGAATCACAAAAATCCTTTTAGTAAAGCCTGAGAGGAAAACCTCAAAGCAATTAGATGCAAATTTGTAAAAGTCGACTGATAATCAGCTTTATTGGTATTTTTCAAATAAGGCATTTTCCAATTAATTAGGTATTGTTTTTCCCATATTTCGACATATATGTGGTGTGGGTTAAATAAAATATTCAAAATAAAATAAATAATGTACATTTTTTTAGATGTTAGTTTCAGTCTGTTAGTTGTAAGGATATCTATAAGCCAGTGTGCTCTATAAAAGTGAAAACTTGCATATAGAACATTTAAAGCTGATATAAACAAAAATATTTGAGGATTAAAAAAAAATTATCCTCAAATCTAGACCAATCAAATTCTCTAGTTTCTGACATGCCCCATTCCCTTTAAGACACTTCTCGTTTGGTTTTCATTTGATGCACTTGATCTCAACTACTCTCACTAGCAGAGCTGTGATAAAAACGAAATGCTACTGGCTGTTTTTTTTTTTAAAGGGGAGGTGCTACTCTGTCCCACCCTCTCCATTTTTTTTAGATTGTCAAACATAAAAAATAATAATAATAAAATACATTTTAAAACACTTCTAAAGACCTTTAAAAAATTGTTGTTGGGGTCTATTTTGGTAACAGCCAACAATACAGCAATACATTGTACGTGTGAAATTTATCCTTTTTTAATGGCAAAATTGTTAGGATGTTAAGTAAAGATCACATTTCATTAAGACATTCTGTACATTTCTCAATGTACTTTAAACAGTTAAAAACAAAATTATTAAATTTTTTTGAAATTTTACATTTTCTAAATATTCCCCAAATGAGGTTTAATAGAGCAAGGAAATTTTTACAGCATGCCTGATATTATTTTTTCGTCCGGAGAAAGTCTTATTTTATTTTGGCTATTATAAAAGCAGTTTTTATTAAAAAAAAAACAAAAATAAAAAAAAAAACATTAGGGTTAAAATTATTAGCCCCTTTAAGCAATTTTTTTGTTGGTTTACAGAACAAACCACTGTTATATAAAAACTTGCCTAATTACCCTAACCTGCCTAGTTAACCTAACTAAGCATTTAAATGTCACTTTAAGCTGTAGAGAAGTGTCTTGAAAAATATTCATTCAAACATTATTTACTGTCATCATGGCAAAGATAAAATAAATCCGTTATAAGACATGAGTTATTAAAACTATTCTGATTAGAAATGTGTTGAAAAAAATCTCTTCGTAAAAGAGAAATTGGGAAGAAAAAAAAATCAACAGGGGGCTAATAATTCTGACTTCAACTGTATATAAAAACAGTTTTTTATTAGTTATATGCAGGGCCAGATGGAATCTGTGGACGTTTTTTGTATTTCTGCTGAGAATTTTGGTAAAAATCTGCGGATTTCTGCTGAATTATTTTGGGACTATCCAGCGGAGTATCATAACTAAAACCTTAACATACGAAATAAAAAGTAATAAATTACTGAATAAAAACTGAATAAATTCAGATTTACACATTTACTCAAATAAATAGACAGAATTCATGATGGGCTAAAAATCTGCAGAAATCTGCGGAAAATCTGCGTGCGCAGATTCCGTGTGGGCCTAGTTTTATGCATTGCAAGAAACTTCATTTCTTCAATTATAGAAGGCGATATCATTGTGACATGCATCATAGCCTTGGAAAAATAAAATAACGGTTGCACAGTATAGTGATAACTGCTCTATTTATATATATATATATATATATATATATATATATATATATATATATATATATATATATTCTTTTTAAATGTCTGGGTAAAAAAAAAGTATCTCTTTGACACTAATGACCCGTCCAGGGTCACATTTTATCCAACGTAGATTGCAAACCTATTGAGTCAACATACATCGACAATGCAAAAGTCAGTATTGAGAATAGTTTGGATATGGCCACTTTAGCCAGTATGCCCAACATTTTACAGTGGACAATGACTTAATGCATGGAGTCAGTAGTTAGTACACAGTCAATTTTGAGTACAAGCATTATAGAGTACATCCTTACCAACACCTCGTTGCAAATGTCGCGTAGTTCGCCCTCCACCTTCTCCCTGTACTCCTTCACCATCTGAAGCTTCTTGTCGTTGCCCTCGGTTTTCTGTTCAATGCTAGAGATGACCCTCCAGGCCGACCTCCGGGCCCCGACCACGTTCTTGTAGGCGACGGAGAGCAGGTTCCTCTCCTCGTTGGAGAGCTCTTCTCCCTGCTCCGTCACCTGCTTCATACACGCGGCCATGTCATCGTAGCGCTCCGCCTGCTCCGCCAGCTTGGCTTTCTGAATCAGCTCCAACTTATCCATGATTTAAGCGCACGATGCGGTCGTTTAAACTCCGGGAAATGACGAGTCCGGCAAAGAGGGGAGGGAGAGAAAAAACAGTGTGTAAAGGGAGCAGAGGAGAAGCGGGGCTGGCCGAAGCACCGAGGATGAAGTGACCCAAGAGCACCTGAGGATAAAAAAATGAAACCTCAGGATTACACTGAAGCGAGAATCGTGACAGGACTTTGCGTTTGCTTTAAATTTCTGGTCAATCAATACACATTTAGTTTAACATGCGAATTTAAAATCATGTGAAGAGGTTTAAAGGCATATGAGGAGACAGACGTAACACGTTAACCCACAGAACGTAGTTAAATCTAAAAATAAAAGATGTAACAGTTTAAAATCACAATTATAAACGCTCAGATTTCTCAACGCAAGTTCCGTTACGTTACTCACGCTTGTCTAATCTATTACTATTCATAAACCATCCGACATGGCTAACCTGCTACTAACGCGACCCGACGTGAAAGTGCACGTTTATATATTAGTTACTTAACACTATTAATAAATAAACACTGCAAATAAATATAAGAATCTTCACATGGACTTTTATAATAGTGCATAGTTCACCTGATAGCGCGTGTAATTGATTTGGTTAGCTTGTGACAGCTAGCGACTAGACTCCTGACAGGGCTTTTGCCTTTTACATAGTAACGGCTGGCAGGGAACGCTAAGATCAAGCAGTGCATTATTCGTGATAAATAAGAAGTAAGGAATCACACATGACGAATGAAAAATAGATAATAAAATTTCCCACCTTGAGGAGCGTTACCAATCAGCTACTCCGCGAAAGCTATATCCGCTTTGGGTTGGAGGGAGAAAAGATTCGCTTTCACCTCAACCGATCTTGAAAGGGGGCGTGGTACTATAAACGCATGGCCAATTAGATCTTAGATTTGGCATGCTTTCTTACGTCAATCAAAGTACATTAGCCAATAGTTGTTAAAACAGGGAGATAGAGGCGGGGTTATAAAATGACCGCTCTGAGACCACGGGGTTTACGCCAATTAGAGCAAGTGAGAGGACGGCTCATCAGGATGGTTTCGGCCCCCAGATTTCGGTGCACTACTCAGCGGGCGTGGTTGGACCTGGAAAATTAATGATGTCCAAATATTTGATGTAGGTACAACATGTTGGTACAACATTATAAATAGTTTATATCCACTTTTAATCTTACTGATTAGAGATATGCAAACGTCCCACCTTCCCATGTTTGTGCAGGGAGCTAATGTTAGTGTGTTTTACCTGTTATGACACATTTAAATGTTGCCCTCAGTGTTAAATATGAACATACGAAATTGCCATAAACACACAAACGTTACATGCATATATGGAAATCAAGTTCATTTAACTGCAATCCTCTTTTATTAACATGCTCTTGCTCTCATATATTAGTTAATTCACTCTTTAGCCCATTTAGGATGTAGGAAACTTTTTAGTCAGTAAAAAATGATAGAAGATGTCTTTAGCTGAAGTGCTTATCACTGAGTCACTGTGTTCCCTTGTCATAAATCGCCCAAACTGAACATTATTTACAACATTATTTTATATATATTTATAATTACAGGCTAGTGTTTTGTGTAAATATGTAACAAAGATTGAATTAAAGTTTAATTTGCTCTTGCTCTCTCTTTCTCTCTGTGCAAAACTTTAAATGGCTCATAGAGAGACCAACTGTCCCATTATTTAATCAATATAATCATGCATTATAAATGTTCTCTGCAATGATGTACTAATATACAGAGAACATCAAAGGCAAACATTACGGTGCACATACTGTAATACATGCAATGACTAAATCATTGAACACAGAATAGCTGCAAAGTAGATAGTATTCAAAGATATATGTAAATATATATATATATATATATGGATATAAATATTTATATTCATGCCAACAGTAATAATGCTGTGAAATAATACAGTCTTTTTCTGTTTCTAACATTAAATACATCTAAGCAAAGAAAATAATCAAACATGAGTTTTAAGTTGAAGGAATAATAAACTGAGGATTGGACTGAAAATAGTGCACCTTTTGCTCCAGGTCACACTCGGCTCCGGTCTGACTCCACAATAGGTCACATGGCTTGCTCTGAAACAGGAAAAACTGCAGATCAGTTACCGGGAATGATCTCTTGCCCTGTAATCCCATCCTTTTGTTATGCCCCAAGGACCCAAGGCAGTATTGTGTTTTTATCTCTGAATGAGGCCTTTCTGATTTGTGACATGGCATTCCTCAGCTCTGTTGTGCAATGTATAAATACTTTACATTTTTACTGATCAACTTTCACTGGATCCTCCACCACATAAGGTGATAGAGACAGCTAACAGGCCTGCGTTGCCCTCTGCTTAAATCTTACCCCACTTTACAGGGCTGTCTTCTACTTGATACCTCCACTTACTCCACTTTATATTCTTCTATCAGGCTTAAATGATATGGGGATATTACCGTGATAAAGAGCAGTATTACTTCCAGAGTCTACTTGGCTTATCTAACACTCAGATGGAGGCAGAGAGCTGTGGAGAATGTGTGAGTGTCGGCATATGATGAGCGCTGGGCATTTATGTGCAGTTTCTGAACTGCTGCTCACTCTCTGGCCTCAGGGCTGTGAAACATTCATAGGGAGCGGAAAGAGAACAGGGAACGTCATTCAGATAACAGAGAAGTGTACTTGATCGTGGTTATATGCTTTTCTGGGTCCAAGGTATAGAAAATTTTTTACTAATAACACTTTTTAATTGGATATAATAAAATTAAGAGAGTAAAAGAAAATGTTAATTATAAAATAAGGAGAAGTATAATGTGTGGGATTTATATATATATATGAAGTTTTTAATATTTCACACTGAATTGAGTAACTGCTTAGTACCTAATTCCATGCATCAAAGGGATAGTTCACCCAAAAAAGAAAAAAATACTCACTATTCATTAATAGTACACTGTAAAAAAATTCCAGATTTTCACAACATGTTACTGTAATTTTTCACAGTAAATTACATTCATGGTTTACACTACATTCATTCTTCCATGACGGGGCGCCACGTCAAAATTAATCCTGCCACGGCTACATTACAGCTTTTCATTCAAAACATTCAGTACTGTTTTTTTAAATAGCGGGTGATAATCACACCAAAACGTATTAAAAGGTAAGTAAATTATAACAGAGCAAACTTTTCTGTAACCGTAGTAGAGCTGTGCGTCATTTCTTTAACCCTTTAAGGTTACGTGCTGACTGACTGACTGACTGACGGATGTGTGAGGCCAGCAAACACGAAGTATAGCCGTTTCACTTTACTTCAGGATGCATTAATACCGCTCTGTAGGTCAATTGGAGACATTCATAAATATTCCTAGCAAATCTAATAAATGTTGGAGACATACTTGTTAAATAAACTCACTAAATCGCTGTTCAGCAGTGTTTATTTGAGAGCGCACAAGAAGATCTGCGCTTGAGCAGCGTATATTTGAGGGATATTTGAGGGAGCGTGTATTTGAGGGAGCGTGCAAGAAGTTTTGTGCACGAGCAGAGGAAATCGGTGTGCAAGCAAGAGATCCACATGCTGTAGGCTATTACATAAATGCGATCTCGACATTTGTCATTGAAATATTGCCACAGGTAGTTGGTAGATCTGTGTAAAAAAAGGCCTGCCGCCACAGCTGGAAAAATCCAAGAAGAAACACTGACATTAGTATCACTTTATAGGATTTAACTGTACATATTCACAGTAATGTGTTGTATTTATGATATAAATACAACACATTAAGATATATATATATATGATATATCTTTTGCATGTTAGTTATAGAAATTCAAACTCTTTTTATTTCATTCAACATAGACATTAATACAAATTAACTTCTATGCTATTGACATGTTTTTGATATTTAGAAATAACAGAATGTTATTGCAGCCCCAAAAACAGTTTGGTTACATCTTCAAAAATAACTCATCCTGTTTTGAAACAACATGAATGCCATAGTATATATATTTTTTTTTTGCGTGCACTGCAACTTAATTTTATTTTATAAGGTTAACATGGAAATATGAAATACTTTTTAATGAACATAATTTGTGCTTAGTCAAAAACATAATAAACTGGGACAAAAGTAATTGATTCATAAAACCAAACACTGTTAAATGTCCAAAATGATTTCAAAGTCAGGGTAAATGTCAGAATGACAAGCCGAGGAAAGCCTGCTTCACAGTAAAATATTGTTAATTCTACAAAATCACAGTAAATTACGGTGAACTAGCTCACAGTAATTTGATGTGAATTTACGTAGTGTTTTTCTGTGAAAGTAATACAATTATTAGCCAGTAATTTACAGTGGATATAAGGTGAAAAAAAACTTTTTTACAGTATAACCATTGACTTCTATAGTAGGAAAAACTTTAGAAGTGATTGGTTACAGGTTTCCTGCCTTTCAAAATATATATTTTTTCTAATCTACTTAGAACAATCTAATTAATATCTAATGTGTATTCATTTGGTTTGAAACGAGGAAAGGGTGTGTAAATGATCACATTATTTACATTTCTGGGTGAACTATCCCTGTAAATCATCTTAAAATCATTATTTTAAGGAGGTTGTTAGTTTCTTTCATCATCCTTTCTCTGCACTCACAACTGCCAAAAACTTGTAATCGTAAAATATTATGACCTTCAATAAAACCAAAAAAGGTTTTCATGAGCACAAAACTGCGTATTTCTGGAATATTAAATTACTCTCGGCGAGGTAGTGGCGCAGTGTCGCCTCACAGCAAGAAGGTCGCTGGGTCGCTGGTTCGAACCTCGGCTCAGTTGGCGTTTCTGTGTGGAGTTTGCATGTTCTCCCTGCCTTCCCGTGGGTTTCCTCCGGGTGTTCCGGTTTCCCCCACAGTCCAAAGACATGCAGTACAGGTGAATTGGGTAGGCTAAATTGTCCGTAGTGTATGAGTGTGGTGTGTGTGTGTGAATGTGTGTGTGGATGTTTTCCAGAGGTGGGTTGAGGCTGGAAGGGCATCCGCTGCATAAAAATTTGCAGGTTAAGTTGGTGGTTCATTCCGCTGTGGCGACCCCGGATTAATAAAGGGACTAAGCCGACAAGAAAATGAATGAGTGAATAAATTACTCTCTCCCTCTTTTTTAATATTTCCTTTCAAAAAACGACCGTGTGCCACATGATCAGATTATCCATATTTATAGAATGGTCATATCTGTAAATGTCTCATAAATTAATTTGGGATCCATACTTTTGAATTTGGAAACAAAAGTTTTTTTGTTTTAAAAATTAATAACCTTTTAAACTTTTGTGAGCATTTAAGTTTATTCATTCATTCATTTTCTTTTCAGCTTAGTCCCTTTATTAATCTGGGGTCGCCACAGCGGAATGAACCACCAACTTATCCAGCATATGTTGTTTTATGCAACGGATGCCCTTCCAACTGCAACCCAAAAGGAAACTGCAACATGCAAACTCCACACAAAAATGCCAACTGACCTAGCTGAGGCTCGAACCAGCAACCTTTTTGTTGTGAGGCGATTGTGCTACCCACTGTGCCACCATGACGCCCAGCCAAAAACTTGTAATTATAAAACTGTACAACCTTCAAAAAGTTAATTTTTAATATTTCCTTTCTAAAAGCGACTGTGTGTCTGATGGTTAGGCCAGAATGTCCACATTTACAGAATGGTCATACCTGTAAATGTCACATAAATTTGTGATCCAAGCTTTTGAATTTGGGACTTAAAGCAATTTTTACCTGTTTTTAACCAAGTTTATTTTTTAAAATAATAACATTTTTAACTTTTGTAAG